CCGGAGCAGAGCTCCGCCGGGCGTGGCGGCGCCCGGGCCTCCTCCCTGCGCAGTGGGTGCCTGCGAGCGGGAAGGAAGGAAAGAAGGAAAAAAGGGAGCAGCGGCTCCGAACCAACATAAACCAGATTTTTACTGCGGGGCAACCGTGGCCAGAAGGTGGAAGAACGCGGTTGTGTGTTGGATGTCTGCCTCGCCCTCCAGCTCATCTCTCTGAACATCGAAAATTAATCGTAGCGGAGAGAAAAACTGGTGTGGACGAGGTGCCTCCCCCACGGCCCATTTCTGGGGTGCAGCCAGGGAATCGTAGGACGCGTACTTTGAACAAGCTTCCTGGGTTATTCTGTGAGGGAAAGGATGAGAGCGACTATTGGATTGAGGCTGAGCGTTATTCTAAAAATGGAGAGGAAAGCCCTGAGTGTTTCGAGGATGGCGCGGAGCGGGCGCGCTTTGCCTCCCTGCGGCAGGAAGGGTTTCCAGGCGTTGAGCACCTCCCTCTGGAAGTTTCTGGAGCCTACGGCCCAGGATTGCTGAAGTAGACTAGGAGTGCTGATCTTTTATGGTTTTCCAGTCTGACACCACTTTACAGAGATAGTGCACGCTGGATTTTATCTTAGCAAACGTCCTTTGTCTTCCGATAAAATTAATAGTTTTACAACTTAGAGGATTGGTCGTTTGTCATCAGATTGTCTGTAGAAAATTGTATATACACTCTAATAGTTCAAATATGACAACGGGTTCAATAAACCATGACAAAAATATATACTGGAGTAACGTTCAAGTACTATTACAGTTAAGAAGATAAATAAAGACTAACACGGAAATATGTCCAGGATATAGAAGTTAGTGAGAAGGTAGACTTAGACACAATATGAGTATACGTGTGTATGTACTAAATGAATCTAGGCATTTTCATTTCTTTTCTTTTGCTTGTTATGGGTAGCATTTTTATTCTTCTAATAAACAAGTACTGGTTTTGGAATAAAAACATTATAGTGAATTTAAAGCAAATACACAGTAGTCAAACCCCGACGTTTAGGTATATTTTTCAAAAATTTACGTCTATGAGGTTCAGGTAGGTAGTTAACTGTCCCGCTACAACTGTTCTGATGAGCCCTAACCCTCTGCTCAGTTGGTCAAAATACTAATGTATGACCATAACCGTGATGGAAAAACTGCCATTGCTTTTTTTTTCTTTTGCATTGCAGCTAGAGCTTTAAAAAATTGTACTTTAAACTTGGGCTTTATAAAAAGAATTATCCTATTCAAGAGGGAGAAGAAGTTGCATTTTGTGTGGAGCAGAATGGGACATGCCTGTTTGTTCCCCATTACTGCCTAGCATTCCCTCAAGCTTTCGTAGCTCGTACCGGCAGGTGGTTAGGGCACAGGAATCCTGCGGGCCAGGAATTCAGGCAGGCTTCACTTGGTGCTTTGCTTTGGGGTCTTTGGAGGCCGCAGCAGGTGCCTGCCCAGGTGTGAGATGTCACGTCACCCGCAAGATCAAAGGGAAGGAGCCACTTCTGAGCTCGCCCCTGGAGGGTTCAGTCCCGTGCAAGCAGCAGGGCTGGAGGTCAGCTGTTCCCTGGGAGCGGCCCTGGTTAGGAGGCTGCTCCGCCAGAATAGTGTGTGACGATCTGGGGAAGAGCCGGCCATCAGTAGAAGTCACAGCCTTGTAATGTAGCACTGTGGAAACCTGCCACTCCCTTTGCCTAACTGTACTGGTTAAAGCAAGCCCTGAGTCTAGCCCGCAGTTGAGGGTTGGAGCATGAACCCGGGGCCAGGGATCATGGGGAGTCATTCTTTGGGCTGTTTAGGACAAGGTGAAGTGGGACACAGAGGGGCGGTGAATGCCCCCTTCCCCTCTGCAGAGACCATGGGAGCCACCAACTGTGTCCTGCAGACTGAGACCCTGAAAAGGAAAGCAGTCCACGTGGGGCAGATTGAGCCACGCCTCAAGGTGCCTCTGCGCTTTGGGGCCCCCGTGCCTGCTGACGATCTCACCGAGTTGGAGCTTCTTCCCACAGTGTCTCCATGTGTGTGGGGAATCGGCATCTCGCAGCTGCAGGGACCGTCCCTGAGCTCAGACTTCTGTCCTGTGGTACACACCCTTCCCCTTGACTTGCCCACCCCTGTTCCCAGGGGCTCTGTTCGGCAGCTATCCGGCTGAAACCTCGGACCACTTGTCAACCACTGACATCTCAACCTACCAGGAGATCCTGCTGGCCTGCTTCTCTGGGCTTCTGATCGCCTGTGGTACCATCTGAGTTTGGACTGTAGTTCCTGACCCGGAGAAGGGACAGTTTCCTTTCTGCCTGCACTTCCTGTGTGTGTCCTTAACGAGGAAGCCCAAACGGGCCTAATCAGATGGAATTAAGAGCGCCATCTCTCTTCCTGTGGCCCCATTTGTGCGGTGTAAAAGCCCCCTGCCTGCCCCTTCCCCTCACCCACTCCTTCTGCCATGCCTTTCTCTGATCCCATCTTGCACCTGCCTGTCTCTGAAATCCATCCGGGCACATGGTAGTCTCTGTGGCCTCCGGCCTCTGCACCTGGTCTTCCCTCAGCTCCAGGCATTCCTCTTCCACGCTCACCCTGCACGCTTGCCTCACATCCTTAGTCAAGGTCACCTTCAGGCTGAGGCCCTTCCCAGGTCACCCTTTGTTATGGCTGGATGTTCCCGCAAAGCCTTCTGCGGTCATAGGTGGGAAATTTTGAAGGTGGCTGGATTAGGGTGTGAGTGTGGATTGAGGGTGTGATGCTGGGATTGAGAGCGTAGATAACAGAAGCTCAACCCTGGGTGTGGGTGGCACCAATCACTAGGCTTACAGCCTGGATGGAATATGAGGGGCCCAGAGAAGGCAGGCCTGCTGCTGCTTGCTGCTCTGCTGTCTCCTGCCTGCTTGCCATGGACTCTTTCTCCTCTGCCAGGCCCCTCTGCCATGCCACCCTGCCTTGGAGCCAGCTAACTATAGACTGAAACCTCTACAAACTGAGCAGAAATAAACCTTTCCTCCTTTAACTTAGGGTGTTGAGTGTTTTGTCTCATCAGTGAGAAAAGTAGCTAAGACACGGAATCTGCAGCCTGAAGGACTCTCTCTGTCCTTCCTGCTTCCCTGTGAAGGACTGGTAGCTAGTGTCTCACGCACTTCATTGCTATTATCTCTGTGCCTTGTTTCTTGCCAGGCTTCCCCTGTTGGCCTCTTAAGTGCCATGAGTACAGGCAGCCGCTGTGCCACTGAGCTGCATTCCCAGCCCAGTGCCATGAATACAGAGATCTTTGTTTATGCACTTGTGCAGCCCCAGGTCCTCTAGTAGGGCCTGGCACCAAAGTGAGAGTGTTTGCTGAATGAATACATGAATGAAGGAATAGGGAGTTGACCTCACGGGAGGGAAGAAGAAGGAGAGCTCTCTGCCAGAGTTGGCCGTTCCTGAGGAGAGAGCCATTGCCGCGGACAAGCTGGATAGATGCTCCCTGGATTTGGCCTTATGCATATTGCCACATACCCTAATATAAACACATCTTGCCCAGAGTGGCCCTTACCTGCATAGCGAGACCCTGTCTCAAAAAGACAAAAAAAAAAAGAGAGAGAGAAAAGAAAAAAAGCAATAGAGTTTTCCCCTAATATTTAACATACTCAGGGCAATTTCTCATTCTTAAAGGCCCATCATTTTTGAGTCTTGGAATCCTGCACCCCTGCTTCCATGCCGCCCTGCTCGCCTGCCTGGGTACCCTTTTAGTTTAAAGAGAATTACTTCAGGCTTAAGAGTTAATTTAATCTAGGAGATATGACAGACATTGAGAATTGATAGGAAAGCACTCATAGGTAAAGGATAACTGGGATATGGGAAAAGAGAAGGGAAAGAAGGAGAAAGTTTGTATATATGTATATGCAGGATAGTTAACACGGGTGTTCTACTGTCCTGTATTTCCTTGCTGAAAGAAACTGTCAGTGAGGCGTTGGTTGATTAGCTTTGTATGTCTATATGTGTTTTCATGAGAAACTACATTGAAGATATCAATATGTAATACAATAAGCATTGTTAATTCCCTACTACTCTGTTTGTAACTCTGTAATGTCTGTACTGATCCTATGCTATTTTGTAAAATGTTGTCGGTCTGTTAATATTTTCCTCCTTTTATTTCTAAAATAAAAAAAATAAAAAAAAACAGAATTACTTCAGGCTTGTAAGAAGGCAAGAACAGTGTCAGGTGGATCTGACACCTCTGCCCACCTCCTCCTTCCCGCATCACTCTTCCTCTCCCACTTTGGATTACCTGGACAGCTAGTTTGGGTGTCTCAGGATGCTGACATCAGAGTTAGCGACGACCCTAAGCGGTTTAAACGCTGTGTGTGCTCAGCAGACCCCCGCGTCTGTCCCTGCGCTCCTTGCTGTGGCTGCAGACTTCTCAGGGTCCAGCTCTGACTGGAGCTGTTGGACGCTTTCCTTCTGTTCCAGCTGTGGGGCCTTTGGATTAATCTCTCCCCCAGGTTCACAGCCACCCTCTCTCCTCCTGCCTTCCCCACCCTCGCGTTCCTGTCCTTGAGATCATGGAAAGTTCCGGAGGAAGTGAGAGCATTTGCTAGACCAGGAAATTCCCCACCAGCCCGAGCTTCTCCTCCAGCTTCCCTTCAGACTTCTGGCCCTTGCAAATAATTTTGCTTTGCATCAAGTAGCCAAACTTTAAATTATGTATGAAACATTGGCTGCTTCCCAAGAGTTTGAAGCAGAATCCTTCTGTCCTGAACCAAGTAATGTCTAGAAACGGGAGAACATGGGAAGAAGCTGCCTCCTTCCATTACAGGCGTCAGCTTCTCTCGGCCATTGCGTGGAACAAAGCCTCGTCGTGTGCAAGAAGGCCTCTTTCACAGAGTAACTTCATTTCCTTCTCAGCATCTCGGTGTAAGTCGTTCAGCAGAGATTCATCTCCCACCACTTAGGGAGACGGGAAAACAGGAATAATTGTGCTGCTGCAGTAGAAAAAATTAGCTTGTGCTTTCAGGAACAGCTACTGGGCATTTATATAATCACTAGTGGCTTAGACCTGCTATGTCCCCCGAACGCTGCTGTGCTCAGAGAGGGGCTTTTGGAAGGCCCCTCTCTCGATTAGATCGTGGGGTGCTACACCCATCGGTGAATTCATCCAGTAAGCAGCAGCTGAGTGTGCTGTTAGGAGGGGCTGTCCTGGAAGGGCATAGGTTGTGGCTGTGTCTGGGTGTCCCCCCAAACCCACGTGCGGTGCTAGGTGGAGCTTTTCAGAGGTCACTGGGTCCAGCGTGTGGCGCAAGGACTAAGGGTGTGTGATTACTAAATTAGTCCACTGATTGGTTTGGCGTACTTCTGGGTGTGGATAACAGAGAGGCCCACCGGGGATGTGAGTGCTACTCAGTGATAAGGAAAGGGACTAAGACAGCTAATGGTGCTTCAGAGAGCACGTGCGCACACACACACACACACACACACACACAGATTGCTCTCTGTGGAAAATAAATTGCATATAAATTTCCCAGTTAGAAAAAGAAATTGCTATTTTAGCTGTGTTACAGTGCGATTAAATATGTTCTACCCTTCAGTTGTGAAATGTTGAATCTGAATATTAGTTTGCATATAACCTGCCACAGACCTGTGACCTCTATTGGTACTCGCAAGTTTGAATTTAAAATTACTAGTTCTTAAAACTCCCTCATAGAGGGAGCCTTTGTACAGTGTCGCGGAATGTAAATTAGTACAGCCATTATGGAAAGCAGTATGGGTGCTCCTCAGATA